CCCATTTTCTTTTTTTTTTTTTAAGATTTTATTTATTTATTTGACAGAGAAAGAGAAAGCACAAGCAAGGGGAGCGGGAGAGGGAGAAGCAGGCTCCCCACTGAGCAGGGAGCCCAATGCGAGACTCAATCCCAGTACCCTGGGATCATGACCTGAGCCGAAGGCAGACGCTTAACCTTCTGAGCCACCAAGATGCCCTTAACCCATTTTTCTAATATGAATTAATATACAGAGGGTTTTCACTGTAAGCAAAAGGATTATGTAAATTAGTTGTAAAAACTAAAAATATATGAATCTTTCACTAATATTGATGAATTTATAGTTGCTCTTAATTTATGCAATACTCCTTTGATTTCAGTGTTAATACTACTGAGTTGACACAAGAGTTAGGGAATTATTTAACTTGAACAGACAATTTTGAAACAGATTTGCTTCAAAGTCAGATCATTTCTTCTAAAATACAGGAACCAGTTTTGACAATATGGATGCAAAATTAAAAAATGATTTTTGGAAATTGACTCAGTTATTGGAAAACTTTTAACTTTGGAGAAACTTGGGGATGTGAATCTACTTTTTCAGCTATAAATTATGTGAAATAGAAATACAGATCAAATATTTCTGATGCCAATTTAGCATTTGAATTGAAATGTGCTCTAAGTTGAAAAATACATGCTAGATTTAGGAGATTTCACATAAAAATGTGAAACATACAATTAACTGTTATTGATTACACTGTTGAAACGTTAATGTTTTAGAGGTATTTTGTTAAATATATGTATTATTAAAATTAATCTTACCTCGTTCTTTTTACCTTTTAATGTGGCTACCAGAACATTTAAACTTACACATGTGGCTCACATTTGTGGTGTGTGTTGTATATATTTTTTACTTCCCAGTTTTATTGAGCTAAAATTCATGTACAACATTGTATCATGAAATTTTTATGGGCATCTCTGCTGTAGAGTAGGGGCTTCAGAACTTGGGCTCTGAAACCAGACAGCCTGAATTTAAGTCTAGTTGCAGACACTTTTAGTTGTGTACCTTGGGCAAGTTGTCTAACAGCAACAGTTTTTTCCCCATCTATGGGGATAATGGGCCGTCTGGGTGTTTAAGTGTCAGTCTTCAGCTCAGGTCATGGTCTCTGGGTCCTGGGATGGAGCCCTGCATCAGGCTCCCTGCTCAGTGGGAAGCCTGTTTCTCCCTCTCCCTCTGCTGCTCCCTCCACTCATGTGCTTGAGTGCTCTCTCTCTCTCTCAAATAAATAAATAAAGTCTTATAAAAAATGAGGATAATAATCGTTCTTACCTCATGGGGTGGTTATAAGAATACTTAAACTGTGTCTGGCTCATGTGGAATAGCTGTTGCTGTTGTAATTATTACGATTCTCTATTAACTCTGTGACCTTGAAAGTTCCTTAGCCACAACTTACTAATACCTAAAATAGTGACAACAGCGCTACATCACAAGATGTCTTCCTGAGCTAATGAGATAACATATGCAAAATTGGGTGACCACCGAGTGCTTGCTGAATCTTCCAGATCTTAGCTGGCATTCAGAAGTCTCTGTAGTCTGGCTCAGCTCACCATTCTTAAATTCAACAGTATGCATGAAAGCAGACGCAAACCATAAGGTGCCCTTGAGTTCTTAAACATTATGTTTATTGGGGTGCCTGGGTGGCTCAGTTGGTTAAGTGGTTGCCTTCAGCTCAGGTCATGGTCCCAGGGTCCTGGAATCAAGCCCCGCATCGGGCACCCTGCTCAGCAGGAAGCCTGCTTCTCCCACTCCCCCTGATTGTGCTCTCTCTCTCTCTCGCAAATAAATAAAATCTTTAAAAAAATAAAAAATAAAACATTATTTTTATTATTCTCCACCATGAAACTCCTCCTTTGAGTATTTGTTCCCCAAACTAGCCTTTCTTGGGGACTCCCTAATTCTGCCCTTTTATCATCTAGACTGAAGGCCCATTCCCCTGCGAGGCTCTCAGTGTGGACTCCAGCCCCATTATGATCTCTCTCTAAATTCCTCTCTCCTCTAAATTCCTGAAATATTTTCCACCCATTGTGTACATTTGGCATTTAATCATATACTACCTTGTATTGTTGTTTAAAGTAATCATGGTTATGTCTCTCTCTGATCAGGTTAGAGTGAGTGCTTTATAATTTGTGAATTCCCCCAATAGCACATGATAATTCTTCAAGAAATATTTGGTCAATAAGTGGGAACTACTGGAAAAATTAGGGGGGAATAAAGAGTTCTGACTGGGGATATCCAAGTATCCTCTACAGAGAACAAAGAGTACACTGAAGAACGGAAGTTTTAAGCGAAACTTTGAGATAAGCATGAAAGGGCCAGACAGAGCTGATATGGGAAGTGAGAAGGGTAGAGGGGGTAGGACAGAGCCAAGGTCAGGGAGCAAAGTGGACCCCACTCTGAAGGACTGTCCTAGAACTCAGGACACAGTTCCTTCTTCCCACAGTCCCTCCAACAGCTATTTCTGATCACATCCAATTTTAGGAAGTGACACCAGGTCGCATCCCAATCAGTTCTCTTGCCCATCTCATATGGTTTATTCCCAGAGCTTCCTTCCTCTTGCTCTGGGAGTGTTCACCACACCAGGGTATTTAAGATGTTTGGAAATCCTTTCCTCTGCTTTAGTTTTGCTAACCACCCGAAAGTGAATGAGTTCACATGTCCTCCTCCCCTATCGTTTGCATTCACAAATCCCCCAGGGCACTCTATCAGAAGACACCTTACTGCCTGCAGTCGTTGTAGAATCGCAACACAGGGCCTGTTCTATAACAGGCAGCCCATAACCACTGGATGAACTAATGTCACATGGTTGATTCCTGTTTGGGCCACCGTGGAGGAAAAACACAGTTAATGTGGAGAGAAAAAAGCTGTTGTTCAACCATGACTCATGGATTTAACTCTCAACACAAGGTTCAAGTTTATTTTGCACTTTTGTTGCCCCAAGGTGAGGGTGAACTGGCAAGGAGAAAGGGAAGCAGCATGGTGGGAGTCAGGAAAGGCATGATTCAGGCCTTAACACTAACATCAGTGTGAGTCGGGGCACCAACTCATTTGGGTTTGCGAAATACAGAGGTGCTGTCCCATGTCAAAATTCTGTTATTCTAAAGTTATACTGTTGTCATTAGGTATGATGCACTAATGACAGTCATACCTGGAAGGGGATGGACCTTTCCTGGGGAAAAGGGCCACTAATCACTGGACTTGGGAAAGTAGGACATCTCAGTTCTGGTTATCCTGGCTACCAGGCTCGGGGACCTGTGACTAACAGAGGCCAGCTCACAGGGGGAGACACCGAGCTGTCTTCATCACTTGCTCATGCTCTCTCCATCCACCCAGGTACAACCAGTCTCTTTTTCTCTTTCTTTCTAACTTTATTCCCAGCCCCCAAGCTGAAATCTGATTATGTAATTAAGCACTCAGTAAGTGTTCTCCAATGCTGATTTTTAATGAAGTTGGCTAATACTGCTTCCTGTTTTGAAAGACACAAACCCATTTAAAAAGCTAGTCCGTGCCCCCAATACCCACTGCTTCTTAGAAACCAAATGGGCATTTTAACCATTGGTTTAGAGGAAGAATAATCATATGTAAATAGGTTAAAGTTCTCACAAGAGACAGTAGCTGTTAAAAAGAGAAACGCCGGTAGCAGGATATGATTGTGATACAAAAACTAGTACCAGTCTGTCTGTCTGTCTAGATCTCTAGTCTAGCCTCCCTATTCTCAGATTGTTCTGGGTTAATATCAAAAAGATCATGAATATGGTGACTCCTAGAGCCTGCTTTTCTCATGGGATTTTGGAATGGCACGTAAGAGATATCTGTAAGACCTTTGAAGGCACCTTCCTAGCAAATCACTGCTCAGTCTCCTGAGTAACTTTGGAGAGCTGCTTGGGATGAATTCAAGCTCTACACCAGGCCTGCTCATGTTCCTTCATGAAAGTAGAATCAGGCTGCCCTTCCCAATCTTCTCGGTGTGCACACTGAATAGTACAAGAGGAAAAGAGAGAGAGAAGTTGTGAGTTGTAAGAGTGAGAGTGTTGGGAGAAATGGTGGACATTCGGGAGGGTGTTGTAGTTGTTCTCCATAAACTATTCTGTCTTCTCACCCTAGATCCATGACTACCGACCGCTGAAACTCTAACGCTATTATTTCCCTACTTAAAATCTTTCATCCCCAGGTTGTTTGCCACTGTATCCTTCATTTGCCATTCAAATTCCATCCTACCTGTGTCTTTAGATTCATTTCTCAACACTCCCTGCCCCACCTCGTGTGCTCTCTCCTTTCAATGCTTCTGCCAGGCTGAACTCTCCCTCGGAATGCTTTCCCACCTTCTTCGCCTTCCATCTTCTGCTTGTTCGTTAAGAGGAGTCAGTTGCCACCATCCCCGATACTCCCTTGAGCTTGGTCTTCTTCCTCTGTTAACTCTGAGCACCCAGGCAGATCTCCATCATGGTCTTCATTACAGGGTCCTGCAATCACCTCTTTGCTTTACTGTGTCCCTGACTAGACTGGACCATAAGCTCTTTGAATGGAAGACTATGTATTAACCATCACTGTATTTCTGGTGCCTTGCACAATGCCAGTCATTTATAGAAGATCACTAGATGTTCAACTAGTTGAGTAGGTATAGACTGGGGATAGAACCATCCCAACCAACTAGCATTGGCACAGTGCCATAGAATTCAGTTGGCTTTGTCTCTAGTTCTCTCCTTGGCACAACCGTAAGCTCCTTGGGAATTCTCTGACCTGGGCCCTGTGTCCAGACTCACACTATTCTCTCCAGGTAGACTTGGACCAATCAACTCTGAGTGCCATGCTCTCCCTCTTTTGGAAATCTGTTTCCTGCTTAAACCCACTTGATTCTTTCCCCTCATCTCTTTGCCCCCCTCATCGTTATGTGTGCTGTATTCTGGGTGCACATTTCTGAGTCTAGTTCTGCTTACATGACTGTGTTCCCTCTCTCCTCCACTCAGGTCAAAGTTTGACAGATGGCCATGGCTCTCCACCAAGCCCTCTGCAGTTGCTGCGTGACCACAGATTTGTGAAATAGCAGGCTACCCTGCAAATGACCAATTACAAGTCCCTATGGCTTCTGGGGCAGGCTGACCCCAGGTCCCTGGTGACCAGCTTCCTTCCCAAAATAGTTTCCTGCTTGAAATGATCTTCCCCTCTTCAGCAGGTGGGAATAAGTTGAGCTAAATGCCTTTCAAGTGGTGTGTCATGATGGTTAAGAGCAGGGGATTGAGACTGAGGCATATCTAGCCTACATCCCAGCACAGCCACCTGGTTGCTATCTGGGCTTGGGCAGGTGGCTTAGCCTCTCTAAACCTTATTTCCTCATGTTTACAAAGGGGATAGTGATAGCACCTACTTCACGTGTTTGCCCTGGGATTAAATGAGAAAAGGACTGTGGGTGCTGAGCACTGCTCTTGGCATATAGTTGGGTACTCACTCAATGGTAGCTCTTCTTCCTACATTAGTGATATTAAGAACAGGAATGATAAGAAGCCATATTTAAAATGATGAAGGCAGGGCAGGGCCCAGGTCAGCTGTACTATCAGGTGACCCCCCCACACACACTGCCGCCCCCGTGGCTCCTGCCTGCCTTCTTGCAAGGTGACCCAGCTTGGCCCTGCTCGCTCTATGCAGGGCTGCTGAGTGAGGTCAGAAATTCGGCCAGGATCAGGCTGCCTGGGCATGACCCCTGAGCTGCAGCTGTGGGAGGAGGAGCTCAAGGGGCAGGGGAGAAATGGGGTGTCAGTGGGCTGGCTAGCACTGTGGCGAGGAAGTGGGTTTGTGGTGGGGTGAGGGCGGGGTAAGGAAGAGGGGAGGGGCAGAGCTTGAGAAGTTTCAGCAGGAAGGGAGGCAGTTGAGAAAAAAAATAATCTACCTTGTGGTCTTATTGGCTTCTTGTTATCATTTTCTGAAAATGAAGAATCAGAAAGAAACCAGTACAAGGCTTCTGGGATGTCACGAAATAGCAGGAGGTGTCTTACTGCTGGTCCTATCTGCAGTTCCAAACAAGGAAAAAATGGGCTGTGTTTTAAAAAGTGGTCAGACTCTCAGACCAAGATCTAATGTGCCTTTTTAGCCCCAAAACTCAGGTTGCACAACCCAGCGTTATTTCCACAGGCAGCTGAAGTAATTCTGCTCTTGAAATCCTGCCCTGTGTGACTTTTTTTTTTTTCTTGTTTTTTAGCTCAGTGATTAAATAATCATGACAGAACAGTCTGGGGCACGGACCTGGGCAGTCATCAGCAGCTACCACGTGTTTCCAGAAAGAAGTCTGGCGTCCCGGCACTTGGGGCAGGAGTCATAGAGCTAGTCCCCACCTTTAGGGAGCGCCTGGTCTAATGTCCTTCCCCAGCCATCAGTCATCCAACCGAGTTGCTGCTCAGTGAAGACTGAATGACCCACTGGAGCCGTGCCCTATGGAACCCAAGAAGGTTCTCTTATCACAACAGGAAGCAAAAGTCACGGGAGAGCAGGATTTCAAAAGCAAGATTTCTTCAGCACCTTGGAAACACCCACTTGCCTGCCCAGCCTCCCCTCAGTTTCACCTCTTATCTCCGCTCAATCACTCACCGTTCCAGATCTTTTTTGGACTTCAGTTTCTAAACTTAAATCAGGCTTAATTTTGGGGAGGGGAGGCAGAAGTGAAAGATTTCACTAGGCAATGTATTTGACTCTCAGTCTCCTCACCGACCCATGACATGGCCTATTGTTTGGAACAGTTTATTTTTTGAAATGTCGGAGCTCAGCTGTTCCGTCCTCATCTCAGACTTTGTACATTCAAAAGCAACCCTTCATCTTCATCTTCAAAATCAGCCCGGTTTCCTCATCTCTCTTAAATGGTACCACCATCTACCCAGCCGTTCAAGTTAAGCTTTGATTCACACCTGCCAGCTTCATAAATAGGTACCAACAGAGTCGGCTGATTCTTGGTTTGTCTGAAATGTCACCCTACGGGCCCCTCATCACAGTCACCCCCATGCAGTCGCAGCCTTTATCACTTCCTCATGCCTGGACTCAATAACAACCCCCTACCAGACTTATCAACTCACTCCATGCTGCCCAGTATGTCAAAATTAATTCACCCAGAGCACAGATTTCATCACTCTCTTTGCTGCACGGAAGCTGCATCGCGGCCTATGGTGCGAAGTCCAGCCAGACACCCAGCCTGGCATTCCCCACATTCCTCTGCAGTCTGGCTGCCAACTTCCCCAGGCCATCTCCCCACTCCCCAAAAGACACCCACTGCTCCCACCAGGCTGCTTATAAATACTGCACTCTGCTTGGTGGGGGGCAGATGCTAACTCATGGGAAGGGAGAGAAGGAGGGAGGCAAAGAGAGTGGAAGTACTCAGCTCTATCTCCTCAACCCACCATTCTAGTCCTTACCATGAGCACCCTCCTGGGAACTGTTCCATCTGTGTCTGCACCACTCATTAAAAAACAAACAAGCAAACCCAAAAGCTTTTATCATGGAAATTTCCAAACTTACATAAAAAACCCTCATGAACCCATTTGCCAGCTTCTACAGCCATCAAGTTTTGCCGTATTTTATTTCATCTATCCTCACTCCATATTTGGGGGGGGCGGGGACGGGAGGGAACCATTTTAAAGTAAATTCCAGACATTATGTCAGTTTATTCCCAAATACCTCTGCATGAACCTCAAAAAAGGACCTTTTTTTTTTTACACAACCACAATGCCATTCCCACCTAATAAAATTGCTAATTCTTTCCTATCATCTGTCTCTCAGTCCATATTCAAGTTTCCCAGATTGTCTAAAAAAATCATTTTTAGAGCTGAGTGTATTTTAATCAAGATTCAAATAACATCATACTTTCTCACTGCATTGCCTTATGTCTGTGAGTTCTCTTTCAACACCTTTTGAACTTTTTCCTCCATGCCATTGACTAAATAAATAAACAGACCAGGTTCACTGCCCTATACAATGCCTAACATTCTAGATTTGGCTGATTACTTCCTTGTGGTATCATTTACAGACCACTCATTTCAACCCTTATACATTGCCTTACACTGTCTTTGACCTAACTTTTGTGTGAGTATGTATTGCTACTTCTAGTACAAACTCCCAAAGAAAAAGTGTGTGTGTGTGTGTGTGTGTATCTGTACGTTTGGTTTCAGTGTTATGAAGAGTAGTTCACATACCAGATCCTCAATAAATACTTGCTAAATAGCTTTTATTAAGCTCTACTGTCTGTAGAATTGTGTACTGGAGAGAGACATATAGAAAGAGACACAGTCCTAACCTTGTGTTTCCAGTGCTGTTAATTATGTAGGACAGTGGTTCTCCAACTTGAACACGCATCAGAATCAACTGGAGGGCTTGTTAAAAACCTAAATTGTGGGGCGCCTAGTTGGCTCCGTCATTAAGCGTCTGCCTTCAGCTTATGTCATGATCCCAGGATACTGGGATCGAGCCCCACATCAGGCTCCCTGCTCGGCGGGAAGCCCACTTGTCCCTCTCCCACTCCCCCTGCTTGTGTTCCCTCTCTCGCTGTCTCTCTCTCTGTGTAAAATAAATAAATAAAATCTTAAAAAAAAAAACAAAACCCTAGATTTCTGGGCTCCATCCCCAGAGTTCCTGATTCAGTAAGTCTGGGATGGGCCCTGAGAATCTGCATTTCTAACAGGCTACCAGGTGATGCTGCTGGTCCAGGGAACTTTGAGAACCACTAATATCAGATGTGAGCTTCGGAAAAATCTTCTACTAGTCCCTGGGGCCCAGGCCATGATGCAGTTTTGATTCCCAGGGCTGCCCACTTCTGAGATTCGGTGGGTGACCTGGGTTGTCTAAACCTTTCAGTGTGGAGGAGCTACTTTGAAGACATGTTTTCTGGTGGAGAGGGGTGAGGTAAGGGAGCAGGCCTGTGGATAGAGGAGTGGCTTCCTCACACGGAGGGAGGGTCAGCTAGGTCCTGTGAGTCACAGGAAGGTTGAGAGGAGCAGGCAGCAGGGGCCTGGATCCTAAAAGCTTCAAGCCAGGGGCTCTGCATATAAGGTGTATGCATGCAACTTTGTCCTGTGTGGGGGTTCATAGCAGCCCTGATATAGGACTGTCATAGGCTGGATGTGGCTGAGACGTTTTGCTCGGGCTCTTGTTCCAGTTTTGCATCCAGATATGGATGGAAAGGTACCCTTTGGAAGGAGTGGGGAAAATGAGAAAACTTGAAAGTCTTTTTTTTTTTTTAAGATTTATTTATTTTAAAGAGAGAGTAAGAGAGGCAGAGGGAGAGAGAGAATCCCAAGCAGATTCCCCACGGAGCACGGAGTCCCATGCAGGGCTCGATCTCACGATCCTGAGGTCATGACCTGAGCCGAAATCAAGAGTCGGATGCTTAACTGACTGAGCTACCCAGGCGCCCCAAACTTGAAAGTCTTTTAAGAGCATCCGAGAATCAGTGACTAAATAAGAAAACCTTGTTACTTTGCTCAACTCTCTCATCTAGACTTTTCCCTATCCCAGCCTTATGTCTTTCCCTGAAGATAGTAGTGTTTTCCTTATGGTAATTCCTGTTACTTCATCTTTGTATCCCTTACCTCCTTCTTGGAGGACAGACTACCTTATCTACCTCTTAAATGTGGACCTTCACCCTGTTCTAGACTTGGCCCTCATCTCTTCTCACTATTCCTACTCTCCCAGAGAAACATTACTACTTCTTTAGCTTCAACTTTCCACCTATATGTTCATGGCTCTCCCCAAAATATCTGCAGCCTAGACTTTTCTCTTGAGCTCCAGACTATAACTCCAGCTTCCTGCTAGATGCCTCCAGGTGGCATGCTCAATATGTCCAATCTAATTTGTTCTCTCCATCTCACCATTTATCCCTTCCTCTGGTCTTGGAACCCCATCGTCCAAGATGGGGTCACCATCTCTTGAGTTGTTCAAGCTTGAAATCAGGGAGTGCTCTTCAAACCTTCTCTTCTCCTCACTTGCCTCTATGTAATCATTCATCAAGCCCTATATTTTCACTCCTGATACGTCTTTCTTATTTCATATGCTCCCTGCAATCTCCCCTGCCTTTGACTTAGTTTCAGTCCTCATCATCTCTTTCCTGAATCATTGTTAAGGAGGCACTGCATGCTTGCTATGTGCCAGGAGCAGTGCTCAGACACTTAGATACTTTCTCTGATTTAAGTTACAAGTGCCATCTCCATTTTACGGACAAGAAAATCAAAAGGCTTAAGGATACTAAGAAACTTGCCTGAGGTCCCCTGCTCGCTGGTAGTTGCCCTGTACTGATATTGGACAATGTCAGGTGCATATTAGAAACAACTGGGGAGATTATAAAGCCTACCATTTATCCCATCCATACCCCAGACCAATTGAATCAAAATACTAGCTACTTCCATGGCTTTCTTTTTTTTTTTTTTTTTTTTTTTTTTTTTTTTTTTAAAGATTGTATTTATTTATTTGAGACAGAGAGAACGAGAGAGCACATGAGAGGGGGGAGGGTCAGAGGGAGAAGCAGACCCCCCGCCGAGCAGGGAGCCCGATGCGGGACTCGATCCCGGGACTCCGGGATCATGACCTGAGCCGAAGGCAGTCACCCAACCAACTGAGCCACCCAGGCGCCCCTTCCATGGCTTTCTACTCAGATGTTCATGGCTCTCCCCAAAATATCTGCAGCCCAGACTTGTTTCTTGAGCTCCAGACTCCTTCCTCAGTGATGCTCCTGGGCAGTCAGGGTTGAGAATCACTGCTTTACTGCCTCTGTGCATAACTACTTACCCTGCTCCCCATCCTGCCCCACTTCAAACCTTCCTCCAGAATGCTGTCTAGCTGTCCTTTCAAAACACCACCCCAGTGGCTCCCCTGTGCGGATAGAGCGAAGCAAATGCTTCTCAGCAGAACATCCAGACCTCCATGGTCTGAATTCTCATGGGTGAGCTCCCTTCCCTTACTCTACCTGCAGCCGCCCCACACACTTGAGACTTCTAGTACTTTGCACATGCTATTTGCTCAGCCTGAAGTGGCCTTTCTTGCCTTTCTCTACCCCAGCTTAACTCTCTAGCAAATAGCTTTTCTTTTTTTCTTTGAGACACAGTTAAAATGTCACCTCTACAATTTCTCCGGGTAGTATTAATGGCTTATCCTTTGTTCTCTTTGTAATTTGCCTCATTACTCTGAGCTGCAATGATTTATTTACACCCTTGTCTCCTTCAAAAGACTTTGAGTCTCAAGAAGAGCTGTGGTCTTGTTCGTATTTTTACCTGCGTGATGTAGCCCATGTTAGGCACTCAGTAAATGTTAAATGAATGAATGAATGAACAAACTTCAAGACTCTTGCCAGTTTGTGCCTACTGTTGTTGGGCTGCATGGTCAAGAGCAGTCTTTGAGTCAGATGAGTCCAAATCCAGGTTCTGCCCCCTTACTGGCTGTGTGGCCACGCCCCAGAGGCTAACTTTATTCACCCTGTTTATGGTTTAATCTCTTCATCTGTGAAATGGGGATATTGAGGGTACCTACCCCACAGAATGGCTATAAGCATTCAATGATATTAGTCCATAGCACTCGGTAATGTCCATTATTATTATTTGCTTAGAAAACAGCTTTCCAGTATATCGTTTGATACCACTTATGAAAAATTACATCTATATGTGTGCATGTGTGTATGTAAATATATATGTGTGTATATATAGAGAGAGCGAGAGAAAGAGAGAATATATAGATATCTGTATCTATATATAAAGAGAGAGACATGGAAGAATGTTCGTTAAGATGATATTGAGTGGTTTTTTTCCACTTACATTTTTATTTATTGTTAGACTGTTTTACAGTAAATATTGATTTATACACTTAGCCACTTCACCTCCCCAAATACAGACACCCACACATACCCACAAACACTCTAACCTATAATATGCATATACAAACCCCACACACTCATAAAACACACAAACACACCTACTTCCTCAGGAGGCAGAAACTCTGAGCCCAGATGTGACCCGGCCTCAAGCACATTGAGAATGTGCCTATAGAGAGAACATGTAGACCTCGGGCCATCTCTGGCTCTTGGCCAGCAGGGAGGGGCAGGCACTCTGCCAACTCTGGAACCAGGAAGTGACATTCCTATTCATCCAAGCCTTCAAGTAAACACCCAACCTGGGCGTCTGGAGACAGACCCCCTTATGAAATGTGGGCCCTTGGAGGCACAGCCTGGCCGCATGAGTCTGTTTCTCAGGGTGGAGGAGTGGGGTGAGGAGTAGAGGCCTCAAGCCCACAGCACAGTGCACAAAGGACAGTTGGGAAGTTTCTAAAGTAGAAAGGAACCAACTAACTGCTGTCAGAAAATGGTTTATTTTTATTCCTGAAAATTTAGGAAATACAGAAGGAACTGGATGGAAGGACCTCCATTCCACAGTTAAATGGGAAGTTCGTTATTTTTCCATTGGAAGAGAAAACC